AAAACACAGAATAAATACAAAAATAAATAAAATGTTGCAATATTTAAAGGGGTCATATGACATTGCTAAAAACATTATTTTGTGTATTTGGTGTAATGAAATGTGTTTATGCGGTTTAAGGTTCAAAAAACACATTATTTTCCACATACTGTACATTATTGTTTCTCCTCTATGCCCCGCCTTTCTGAAACACATCGATTTTTACAAAGCTCATCGTTCTGAAAAGCGTGGTGTGCTCTGATTGGCCAGCTATCTAGTGCGTTGTGACTGGCCGAATACCTCAAGCGTGTGAAAAATGTTACGCCCTTACCAGGTTCAGGAAACTTTCTTCCATAAAATGCGCTGCACACACTCGAATATTTGGGTTGTACTGTTCTGCAACAGTGTTGTAAATAAAACTTAACCACTGATTTCTAGTTGTGTTGGAAGGCCAAACAAAGTAGCTTGGCTTTCACAATGAAACACACAGCGTCTCCACGACATGACGGCGTTGGCAACAATACTACAATGAGGATAAAAGTTACACCTTCTTTCTTTGCATATACATTTGGGCAGTGTTATGCAAATCTTCCCACATCGTGACAGAGACATGTGGGCGTGTTTGAACGAGGCGTTTTAGGAAGGCGTGGCTGAACGTTCACTTTTATAAAGAATATCTCTTTGGGTTTGAGACTTTAATCTTTGCAACTTTTTTGATCTTCTGTATGCATGAACAGCTTTTAAAGGGTTGGTTCACCCCAAAATGAAAATTCTGTCATTAATTACTCACCCTCATGTTGTTCCAAACCCGTAAGACCTCCGTTCATCTTCGGAACACAAATTAAGATATTTAGCTCTCAGACCCTGCATAGACAGCAATGCAACTCTAATGTTCCCAGGTCCAGAAACGTAGTAAGGACATCGGTAAAACAGTCCATGTGACATCAGTGGCTCAACTTCAGTTTTGCGAAACTACGAGAACACTTTTTGAGCACAAATAAAACAAAAATAACAATGTATTTAACAATTCTTCTCCCCCGAGTTACGTCTTCCGCCATTTTGGAGAGTACCCTACTTTATTAAAACAGGCCAACACAAACAACTTGCACTGCAGGAAAATAACCTTACAAAATCACAAGGAGACATGAACATTAAAAAAGGGCTAATTAAAATAGCATACACAAATCTGTTGTGAAGAATGATTTCTGAAGGATCATGTTACACTGAAGACTGGAGTAATGGTGCTGAATATTCAGCTTTTCCATCAAAGGAATTAATGACATTTTAAAAAGTATTAAAATAGAAAAGCCATATTCTAAATCACAATAATATTTCACAATATTACTGTTTTTTTTATCAAATAAATGCAGCCTTGGTGAACATTTGAGGAATTATTATTTGAATCACCTTGGAGTATGTGAATATCATGTTCATGGCTGTACCATGGTACTGCCACAGCACTTTTCATAAGCGAAAGAACTTAAATGGTTTTTATTCTTATGGGAACAGTAGTTAAAACATTCCCATTCAGTCAATACAACACATGACTATGGGACATCCACAGACAGCCCTTTAATAATGCCCATGAGGTAAACATGCCCTTCTAACAAAGTAAATACACAGAGTACCCGGAAACCATTTACTACTACATGGCATGGCTATACTGTAACCCCCACAATGCACTGCAAAAGACAGAAAATATCCAGCACCAGCTGCTAATAAACAGATTTCATGAGATGTCATAGATTCTCATTGTGATGCATAAAATCTACAATGGCCCTTCCAAAGTGCTCTAATATATGAGATACACTTTGGGCACTTAGTCAAGAGTTCCTGACATAATGACCTCCCCTGGCCGGGAAATCTGCACCTTTATTCCGTTGACTGACTTCAAAGAGCTTTGGATGAGAGTGGGATCAGTCCTTCCTCATCTAATAAATGACATGACAGGCGCATTGTCTGTTTGATCGATACATGTTGGCCTCTCAATACAGAGAGGAAGTGCTTCAGGGTGAGAAAAACAACTAGTCATTGGAGATCATTTATGTGGTGTGTAACTGACCACAACTTTTCACTTCAAACTGGACTTCAAAGTGACCCATGACTTGGTTATCATGGCCTGAAGCTGTGTAGGCTTGAGCAATCAATAGTCTGAGAAACATATCCTCCATGACACCATCCTCACATCGCCACGAGCTGGAAGTTTAGTCTTCAGGTCTGCGACCACTGTTGGAGAAGCCATCTTTCACTATAGAGTGAGGAATATTCCTCCTTTCTCCTGCTCTTGGTCAAATCCATCACGGGCTAAAAACATACTTAAGGAAATGTCACCATACTAATCCTTCCATGCACCATGAAGTTCTCCAGTTTCTCGATCTACGAGAAGGCCGTTTCTCTCTCTGATAACCGAGGTCTTGCTCAGCTGTGAACCAAGCACACGCTCAACAAACTACAACTGCTGTTTCTAGATTTAAGCAATAGAGCCGCTGATAGTATGAACAAGTGCCGGGTGCTGAAAGGCCAACCTAGCATGGCTGGTTTCCAAACACAGTTTTCGAGTATATTTTTCATACGCTAGGTACTGGCATGCCATGGGACAATTCTGTTTTCTTGAAATTCCAAAAACGTGCAATTATTTTGGTAGAATACAATTTTGGTAGCTGAATAGTAAATAGTTACTTTAAATATTTCTCAATATTATTGTTTTACAGTATTTTTGATCAAATAAATGCAGCCTTGGTGAGGATAAAAGAGAGTTCATTCAAAGAAAACATTAAACAAATGGTGTCTGTATTTATGTCTCTGTATATATTTTTCTAGTGCATTTGTAAATGCGTCTTGTGATCGTTTCATCTGCTGCACATTAAACACACAGACCTGTCCCGAGGAGGCCAGCAGGTTGATGGTGGTCAGGAGCATCCAGCCCCGGCTCGCCTCCTCGCTCTGATTTACCTCCAGAAACTGCACAATGGCTCTGCTGGCCGCCTCTGTGGGAGGAGTACACACACAAACAGAATCACTGACGCGTTAAACAGTCTGCGCATGTGGATCAAATCCATTTTCACACGTCAGCTTGTGTGTGACTGGCCTCATCTGGGGAAGGACGCTGAGTCAATTAGAGGTGATGACATGCAGGCAGTTTCATTTCTCATTCATCCATCGCTGCCTGTTTTTGAGATGCAATATCGTGACACCTCAGTGAATTCACAAAGGATAAGATTTACTCAGAAGAATGTTGTTTTCTGCTCCAACGAAAATGTAATCATATAATGACATTTTGAAATCAAATGTCATTAAAAATAAAACAAATCTCTCATATAGAATAAATACAATATTAACGTTTTACATTATGCTTTTCATTGTATCAGTATTATGACAATAGTTTGCAAAAAAACCACAAAAAAGCACAAGATGTTTAATAGATGGTATAAAAGCAACTAAAATGCCTAAGCACTTACTCCTTTTGTGTCATAAGATGCTCAGTCTGGTGTTTGTGGATCTATGCAGCATATGCGGTCACGGTGGATTACATCACCAAAAATAAACATTACGGTACATCATGTGCCAAGACAAGCTGCCAATACACACTGTGTTGACAGCAGAGTAACTCAGAGACCATAAAGCCCAGACTGAGTCTTCCTCACTGATCAAAGCAAGAACGCACAGGTATAAGCAGGTATAAACAAGTATAAAATTCTTCAGGAACAAAACTTTTAATGTCTATGTAATGTCTATAAAAACGTATTTATAAATAGTGGATACAACTTATATTAAGTCACTTTTAAAATAAAAATTAAATAAAAAATGTAAAAAAATATCTATATATTTTTTAGCATCAGTGTGAATTGCTATTTGCAAACAATTTAACTTATGTTTATACTTGCCAACTTTTTTATACACAAATGCAAACTTTTGGGTAAGAAACCGCTATTGTCAATTTTTCTTATAGACTATAATTCATGTTTTGTCTTTGATGGACATAAAAAAACAAAAACAAAAATCTTTGAAAAGTCAAAAATTGCTTTCGATGTTTAAAGGGGTCATATGATGCTTTTTAAAAGATCATTATTTTGTGTATTTGGTGTAACAGAATATGTTGACATGCTTTAATGTTCAAAAAACACATTATTTTTCAAATACTGTACATTATTGTAGGTCCTCTATGCCCCGCCTCTCAAACGCTTCGTTTTCTACAAAGTCCCTCCTTCCGACAAGCGCAGTCTGCTCTGATTGGCCAGCTGACCCAGTGCATTGTGATTGGCCGAACACCACAAGCACTCGTCGGAAATGTAACGCCCCTTACCATAATCGTGAGCTTCATCTTTCAAAATAAATGTAAAGACAGAGCCCGAAAGAGGAACAGAGTCGTGTGACAGACACAGTGATGAAGCTGGTATGTGTTTGCAGTACACAAGCCACGGTTAAGACAGCTGACTCCACTGTGAGTGACCCTCCCTCTCTCTCTCTCTCTCTCTCTCGCTCACACACGCGCACGCGCACACACACACACGATGCGCAAAACTCCGCATTTGAACAGTCAATAGCAAATACTTAAACTAATAACAAAACAGTAGCTGATTCAGAAGCACCAGATTGTCATAGCAAAGTCAGAATTACCTCCTCTCCTAAGTTCACGAAACGGTCGTCCATAAAATGCATTGCTGTTCTGTTGTAAGTAATCTTAAAGATTCCTAAATGCATCTACTTTCGGAAGGCCAAATAAAGTGCTTTTGCTTTCGCCTAGAAGAACTGCAGCAGGTCTGAAAACTTCTCATTCATCGTGTTCGGTGGAGCGTTCCCAAACACCTGTCACACACACAAACACCATTTACAGAGCTCAAACAACCTTCTTTTCATGCAGCCCTTTTTTCCCTCTACAAAGATGGGAACCTGTTGAGTTAAAGCTGAGGTTTAATCAACAGTCACTCCCTTGATGTCTGAAGAGCAGTACGCTCAGTTATAGTGTTATTTAGCTTTCATAGCAGCAACTGAGTGTCCAATCAAGTTAGTATAAAGCACAAACAGTTATAAGATGTGAAAGATTGTCATATTCAAATCCAGATTGTCAGGCCTCTTGCTGTTTGAAGAAATCTAAATCAAGAGAGACATACTGCGGTGTTCATGCTAATATGCAGCATTTCATATGGGTCTATAACACTTCATCAAATATGTCAGCTTTGTAAATAGAGAGCCTGTTTCATCCCACTTCTACAAGTGCTCTCCAAATGCACACAGGCTGCAGCAGGGCAGTGCTCTTTCATGCACAATGATGAGCTGTAGCTGAGGTCATATGCAATGTTTCTGTATAATCAATGCTGGATGATTAGCACCATCATGCTCTTCTCCAGCCTGTGAGAGTCTCTTGATGTCATAACGACTACTTTGCCTTTGTAAATGAAGCACTTGTAACTGCTGGTTCTCTTCTTCTTATTGTTGAAGTTTAACAGTAAGTATAGTATGAATAATATGGCTTAAAGACAGGGATTTTTTTTTTTTTATTCAGGAGAATCTAGTGATTTGTCTGTAAAAGAAGAAAATGTTTTAAGGTTCTTATGTTCGATGAAATTTATTGACTATATATACACATGTACATGTACACACACACGTACACTACTGTAAGTTTAGCGTCGGTAAGATAATTTAATGTTTTAGAAAGGCTCTTATGCTCATCAAGGGTGCATTTATTCGATCAAAAATACAGTAAAACAGTAAAGTGAAATTATTATTACAATTTTAAGTAGCCGTTTTATATATTCTAAAATGCAGTTAATTCCTGTGATGGCAAAGCTGAATTTTCAGCAGTCTTCAGTGTCACATGATCCTTCAGAAATCATTCTAATATGCTAATTTGCTGCTCAAGACATATTTCTTATTATTAACAATGCTGAAAATAGTAGTACTGCTTAATATTTTTTTTGTGAAAACTGTGATACATTTTATTAGGATTCTTTGATGAATAAAAAAAATTCAAAAGCATTTTTTGAAACTGTTCTTTTTTAACAATGTAAATGTCTTTAATGCCAATTCAATTTTGATTTAGTTTTGATCAATTAAATGCATCCTTGAGCCCAAATGGCAGCCCACAAAACCTTTGAATGGTAGTATAGAGTTGTTGTTGTTTTTCATTTGTTCTAAATGATCTAAATTTATCTTTTTTTTTTATTGTGGGGCCATTGAAAATATTAGCAGGGCGAGTAGAAATCTGATCTATTGGCCCAGCTGAGCTAGTAATCATCACTAATCATACTCTAACCTTACATTTAATGGTAACAAAAAACAACAACAAAGCCACCAGGGGTGATTTAGCACTAGCAGTGCAATACAATGATGTCTATTATATTTGTCTTCTCTGTTAATGCATTTTGGTTGGTGAAGCTGTACTGTTCAGAAGTCTCTCTACCATCCGTCGGCCTCTATATATATATTTTTTAATAAATTGCATTATCCTGATGCATATTACACGATGATGATGCTGTCTCTTATGTAAACGGCCATCTCTCTCTCTCTCTCTCACCCGGTTGAAAACAGGCAGCATCATGTAGAGCTTCTCCTCCTGCTCTTTTTGTGTCATATGGCGCGGCGGGTGGCAGAGCTCGGAGAAGAGACGGCGCAGGTGCATGAGTCCCAGCGCGTTGTCCTGTGGGTTGCACTCCTCCTGCCGCGGCCTCCCCATGATCCTTTTCACCATATTCATCTTTAGAGGCTTCTTGAGGCCGAAGCCAGCCCTGACAGAGCAGACAAACAGACAAAAGAGAGGTTTCGTGAAATGGAGGAAGTGAAAAGGGGATGGTGGGGAGGGGAAAAAAATAAGATGTCAGGGAAATTGATTGTCGATTGTGAAAGTCCACTTCTAATGTGACGTGATATGCTAGCTTCAAATTGCAGATCAAATTCAGCCTGTTTATTTTTTTGCAGTGAACTGCTTGTGTCTGAGACCCTTTAGTGAGGATTGCGCTGCAGGTACAGAAATACTGCAGGGCATGCAAACAAAATTGTATCCAAAATACTATTTAGGTTCATCTAAAGGACACAGCGATAAAAGTGAACTTAAGTATCTATGTATAAAGCAACAAGATTTGTATATAACTGCACAAGCTCTTCAAGTAAATATTCCTATTATTGAGAAGCTATTGTGTGATTTTGTAATTCTCATTCTTATTTGTTGCACTTTAAACTGTCCATTCCATTTACAGTAAGTTACAGTTGATACAGGAAAATAAGACGCAAACTCTCTCTCTTACTACCTGCAATTAACTAACCAAAATGAGCAAATAAGCATGCAGGAAACAGCCACTTAATAGTAATACATGGCTAGCTAATAGGCTTGCTGCGATAGTCGGTGTTGATGGTGTAACCTGTGTTAAGCCGCAACACTGGTTACATCACTTGCCCACCGAGCACAGCCGCCCCACTGTCGTTTTGATTTTTTTATAGTAATAAAAATCATTTAGTTCAGTTAGAGAACAGACACTACAATTAAAAACTGTACGTAGCTGATCAATGCAGCGTGCCGAATGACAGTCGCACCACAGATCAGCAGCAGGAGTCAGATTTAATTTATCACCTGAGGAGAGTGAGCTATTTAAAAGCAAAGGAAAGCCAGGGAAAGAAGGAAAACCCCAACGAACACAAGATACTTTTTAAGTCTATGATGGTTAAACTTTGCAATTAATCTGCAAATGTGTGCCGAATTAATCTGCACATGCATGTCGAAACATGGGGCCTGATCCATACGGATCATGGATCAACTATGACCCGGGGCCCGTATGACCCCTGTTAGACACAATTTTTGATGATAAATTTGTATTAATCACAGAATCCAGAAAATTAAAAGGTAGCTTACTCTGTGGAAGTTAAATGTGAAAAGTTATATTTACATTCATTCTCAAGGTCTAACAAACATGTGAAAAGCATTTCCTTCCCCATTCATGGTAAAATATTATTGTGATAAATATTATCGCATGATATGGCAAAAAATATTGTAATATGTTTGGCCATCACTCAGAGTTAAACTATCATTTTTGATGCATTCTTCAATGCAAAGGTACATTTAATGCTTGATATTAATAAATGAAAGCATGCACCAACAAACTTGTAAACTGAAGCCAGTGAACTGCTAATGCAAATTCACTTCTTTTCAAAGCATAATCCTTAACTTCTTTGACTTCCTTGCATGGGAAATGTGTTGCTACACTGAATAACCAATGAGCCCTTTACAACAGTGTAAAAAGCCCCTAATGTCTTCAAAGTAAAAGTACACACCAACCTAGTTTCATGCTTCAGATACATCATCAACACCAGATCTATAATTTTTGTTTTAATAACCATAGAATAATACATATTCTGCACTTCAGACCATTGACTACATCATTTGAAGATACACACTACATTTTAAATTTTTTTGCCAAAAACAGGTCACACAGGAGGCACCTGGACAACTGGTATACTTCATAAAGACTGAACCAACGGTGATTACTTTTAGTGAAATATAATAATAATAATAATAATAATTCCTTTGTATTTTTGCATTTATTTATTGATTTTATTTCCCCTGTACAAGCAGTGCTTCCTGAAGAAACAGTATGGACAAATGGTTGTCTTCCTATGCCTTGCTGTGTTCCAAACACTGAGGTCATTTAGATCCAACTGGGTAACAGTTACAAACTTTGGGGTAAACAATGAAGCTTTAAACACAAAATACCTTTACATCATCTGCTGAAGCCGGCGAGCACATGGGTAAAGTAGGACAGACACACATCTGACAGACATCTGCTTGAGCCAGTGCAGTGCTGTTATAAAAATATGAATGTTTCAGCAATGCCCTCACCAAAAAGCCCAACATCTGTGAGCTGAAGCAGATTCTTAGACGGAACAGACCGCAGACAGCTACAGCAACTCAGAAAGTCAGCAATGCTTAAAGACAGGAAACATGAGACGTCCAAGAGCAACAGTGACTGCATCCATCGAACTAAAAATATCTGCATTGTATCCAGGGTTCCTGAATTTCTGGATATTATTCCAACAAACAAATGGTTATTATTCCAAAGCGTCTGCTGAGGCCACAAAAAAGATTTTATGGCCTTGTGTTTCAGTGCTATAATAATCCAAAACTGTCTATTCACCCAGACAGACCGGACTTAATAAGTTAAAAGTTGCTAAGATGCCACATATGGCCTGTATAACTAAAATAAAAATTGCTCAGCATTTCTCTTATGTGGCCTACAGCCAACTGTAGTTTTGCAACCCTCATTCTTATTTTCAGGTACAGAACCAACTAGGGCTGTCAAAATAAAATTTGAATTTCGAATATTCGTCGAATTACAAAAAAAAAAAATCCACATTCGAATGGAAAAACGTTGCATTCGAATTTTAGGTCTGTGTCAGCCATCAGGCAGCCTTATCAGTGGCACACGAAATGCGACGACAATGTAAGTGTCATTGCATTTTAATGCTTTTGTTAGCCTATCCAGTTGAACCCACTAGATGCGGCGCTGCTATGTTGTTCATTCAAAATATAGCGGAAAACGAGAGCATCAGTGTGGCGAATATGTTGTTTACGCCGAAACTGAAAACAAACCGTTCACACAGAACGCATATTTATCAAATTTTCTAGCGGGGCATCTATCAGCGTTGCACTCGCGTCTCGCACAAGAGAGCGGCATGTTTAGAAAGCCATGTAAAATTAATGTAAGTTCAACTTTTAAAAAACATGTCTCAAGACTTTATTGGTGTTTTTCTCCATCCCACT